GCCCCAGGACTGCACAAGAGAGCCGCAGCCTGGACCTGAGGGCCAGGCAGCCACTGCACCGCAGCCAATCCTCGACCTCAGCACCTGCGGGTCTCTGAGCGCCTCTCCACCCCCTCCTTGCTAACGCCTGAGAGATCCTTTCAGAAGATGGCTCCCCCTCTCTTCTTCACAAGAATTTATGAGCCATCTTGTTTCCTACATCATTTCACCAGACAGCTCTGCCTGTCACTGGGATCTGTCACCTGGGGCTCCCTCCCCAGGTCTTTTTTGGCTAGCCCCTGTCACTGCCTGGCTTCCCCTGGCGCATGACACACCCTAACACACCCGTTTCACCCAGTCACTCATCTACTTACCCTAAATTTACCCATCCCTACCCCACAGCAAGCATCAGGTGGAGGACCCGGTCCGAAATACACACCAAGTCCCTCCCTCAGAGTTCACGCTGGGCGGGAGGGGCTATGACCACGTAAAGACACAGGTTAATGACAGAGCCGGTGATAAACAACTGCACTGGCTGAGAAGCCTCTTCAGATGGGGAGATGGGAGGAAAAACAGGGCAGAGAGGGTGGGGAAAGACCTTGGGTGCGAGGTCAGAGGGTGCGGACAGGGTGGTCAGAAGCCAGGTCACACAGGGCCTGAAGCCGGGGACGGTGCTCGGATCTTACTGCAGGCTCCATTGCCCAACTTCAAGCGGGGGAACTTCGATCTGGTTGATGTTTCAAATCGATGTCTCTCCTAGCCGTGTAAGAGAATGGTTATGGGGAGCTTGGAGGAGGAGGTGGGGACTGCGTGGTGGCCCACCAGGAGCTAGTCAGGAATGGCAGAGAGGACATGTACAATTAAGTTCAAGAAGGGAACATTAAGATTCTACCAAAAGGGGGCCCTTGCAGGGTGACCTGACAGGAGCCCCTCGGTGGCACTGCAGTGATGATGGAACTGGAGGCAGTGACATGGTTGACTTCCTGGAGTTCACCATGGAGGCAAACAGAGGAATGGACGCGTGCAGGAGGACGGACACAGCCTATGTATACGTTAGTGGCTGCTTCCTGGAACCACTGTAACAAAGTGCCACAGTGTGGAGGTTTAGAATATTTATTCTCTCTCAGTCCAGACGCCAGAAGCTTGGTTCTAGTTGTTGACAGGACCACACTCCCTCAGAGGCTGGGGGGAATCCATTCCACGCTCCCTCAGAGGCTGGGGGGAATTCCACGATCCCTCCAGAGGCTCTGGGGAGAATCCACTCCATGCTCCCTCAGAGGTTTGGGGGATTCTACTCCATGCTCCCTCAGAGGCTGGGGGGAATCCATTCTAGGATCCCTCCAAAGGTTGTGGGGAATCCATTCCACGCTTCCTCAGAGGCTCTGGGGGGAATCCATTCCACACTCCCTCAGAGGCTGGGGGGAATCCCACGATCCCTCCAGAGGCTCTGGGGGGAATCCACTCCATGCTCCCTCAGAGGCTCTCGGGGGAATCCATTCCACGCTCCCTCAGAGGCTGGGGGGAATTCCACGATCCTTCCAGAGGCTCTGGGGAGAATCCACTCCACGCTCCCTCAGAAGTTTGAGGGATTCCACTCCATGCTCCCTCAGAGGCTGGGGGAATCCATTCTAGGATCCCTCCAAAGATTGTGGGGAATCCACTCCACGCTCCCTCCAGCCTCTGGTGTCTACCCTAGCATCCCCTTGGCTGGGACCACATCACTCCCGGCTTTGCCTCCACCTTCTCAGGGCCTCCTCCTTTCTCTCTGCAGGTGTTTTTTAAGGATGTAACTGCATTTAGGGGCCACCAGATAACCTAGGCTAAGCTCTTCCTCTCAAGATCCATCTAAGGTAATATTCTTTCTTTTCACATGTGAGGTAATATTCACAAGTATTCTGGGGGTAGGAAAGGTGCAGAAACACCTCCTTTCCCAGTCCTGCCAGTTGGCATTTTTGCACCTAGTATCACCTCGGGGCTCCTCTTTCCTCCTGCCCTGTAACTATCCACTTTGGTGTATGCCTTGATAACTGGGTGGCAGGTAGGAGCTGTGGCCTCTGCGGCCCAGCTGACCACAGGGCCTCACACTCAGTGCTTTGGGGCATAAATGCCCTCCAAGCTACTGTGCCAGTGAGCTGGGTGGAGCCAAGGGCGAGTCCATGGACTTGCTGGCTCCCTGCTTGCAGATACTGACACTGGGATCTCACACACACCCCAACCAGTAGGGCCTGGCAGGGCCCTGTAACCTACGTCTAGCTGCTCACAGGGGGCCATACTCCCCAGAAGCAGGAAGTGCTGAGACAGCTGAAGGCAGAAGGTCTGCCCTGGGTACCAGCCCCCAAGAGGGCTCAGCAGCCATGAGAACCGGGTCATCTCTGCAGCACCCGAGGGTGGGAGTTGGTGCTAGGGAAAGGTCAGATGCTGCTGGGACTGCTTGCACACCCCTCTTCCGGACTACTGAACTCCTGTAGGCAGGTAGGAGGGCAGAGATGGGACAAGCTTCCTAGTGACTCTCCACTGAGCATGCATTCCCTCCCTACCCCCAACTTCTACCCTTCTGCCCTTAGCAAATGCAAAGGAGAAGTTAGGGGCCTGTGATTCACATTTCTTTCCCTTTAACACACCCACACCCACTTTTTTCAAGACCCAGCCCAACACAAATCAGGACAAGAACTAGATTTAAACTTCTATGGAACTTCCTGCTCCACGAGGCACAGGGGATTGGTTCTTCAAGCAACTCCTGTTAAGCTAGGGTCTGTTTGGACCTCTGCCAGGGGAAAGCCCAGTGGGTTTCCATTAGATGGGAACTCAGGCTGGGGGCCTGTGGCTGCCTGCTGGATGCAAACAGTCCAAAAGGCCATCAGTGAGCAACACGAGAACCAAGAGGCAGGAAAGGGACCACTAAGTGAGAAGAAAGAGGAGGGCACCCTGTCACCACAGCCTGGGGAATCCCTGGGCTCTGTCACACCTCAGGGGATGCATGGGGCCTCCTGATCAGATGTGAAAGGCAGAAGCATGTGGAAAGGCTGTGATTCACATTTCTTTCCCTTTAACACACCCACACCCACTTTTTTCAAGACCCAGCCCAACACAAATCAGGACAAGAACTAGATTTAAACTTCTATGGAACTTCCTGCTCCACGAGGCACAGGGGATTGGTTCTTCAAGCAACTCCTGTTAAGCTAGGGTCTGTTTGGACCTCTGCCAGGGGAAAGCCCAGTGGGTTTCCATTAGATGGGAACTCAGGCTGGGGGCCTGTGGCTGCCTGCTGGATGCAAACAGTCCAAAAGGCCATCAGTGAGCAACACGAGAACCAAGAGGCAGGAAAGGGACCACTAAGTGAGAAGAAAGAGGAGGGCACCCTGTCACCACAGCCTGGGGAATCCCTGGGCTCTGTCACACCTCAGGGGATGCATGGGGCCTCCTGATCAGATGTGAAAGGCAGAAGCATGTGGAAAGGCCCAGACACACAGATCAGTCTCACTGTCCCGGCAAGCAGGAGGCCCCTGTTCCCATTGGGACCCAGGGCACAGCCCACATAGACCAGGCTCAACATGTCTGCCTGCTAAAAAGGCTTCTGAGCACATTCTCCCAGTCAATTCCCTCAAATACATTCCCTTACAACCACCAATTTACTGCAGGCAGGATCACTTCCAGAAATGGCAGTTTGCTTTCTGCCGATAACCCAGATACTGATGCCACACACAGCCCCACAAGCCAGCCCCATGGCACAGTGGAAATACCGCACCAGTTCAGAGTTCAGGGCCTGGCTCCAACACTCATTCCAGATACACCATCCTGGGCAAGACTCCAATCTCTCCGAGTCACCATCCCCTCACCTACAAGATGCAGGTAAGAGCACCTACTCTCTGGAGCTGCAGCAAGGATGGAGTGACATAAGTTTAATATAAACTGCCTTGCAGGGCTGGCACATAGTTGGAACTCAATAAATTCCTTCCCTTCTCAACTACTTCTGCGACTGTTTCCCTCTCTCAGCTCCAAACCCAAAGAGATCCCAAGCTGCTTAAGTCAGAAATGCGGAAGGGGCCCAGGCAGGGAAGAGAGTAAATACTCCCAGCAAAGCGGGAAAACCCCTGACACTCCCAAGCTCTCAGCTTTGAATTACGCTGTGAGCTCCATCTGGGGCCCCACCCCCACTGCTGGCTCCATCCCCGGAATCCTCCATCTCCCCAGTGTGGGAGGAAGCCAGGACCCCGGAGTTTTCCAGTTTTCTGAAATTCTGGTGGCACTTTCCCACCTGCTGGGATAGGGCCTAAGGGGATAAACAAAGGTACACAACCTCGTGAGGCTCCACGGCTGCTCCTCCTGGCGACAGGCAAGCAAGAGTTAACTCTTGAAAAGTACAAGGAGGTGATCTGAGTCCCCAGTTAAGCATGCAGGGGCAAAGGTTCTTAACGTTGCCCAAAGTTAACTGGCACCCACCCCAATCCCCGGTGGCATGGAGCTCATTTTGCTGCAGGTGAGTTCTGAAATCGAGTCGGGAGTTGTGTCCACGAAGTCCCAGAGTCCAAGGCTGCCCTGGAACCTCCCCAGCCTCCCGGACCCTTCGCCCCCGCAACCCCCGAGTATCGTCTGGCCACCGCTCCAGGTCGCCCGCGGGTGAGGGGTGGGAGGAAACAGTTGCCCTTTTTCCCCGCGGAGGAGGACATGCGGTCACCACACCTCCTGCCCCCAGGCCTCCACCCGCCGGCTCGGGTAGCGCTTTCCCCGGAATTTCCACGGCAGGCCGGGCGTCCCGTGCCCGCAGCCCCTGGAGCCGTCCCAATGCAGATCCCCTTAAAGATACGTGCCCCTTCGGGGAAGCAGAGGCCTCCACGGTCCGGCCCCGGGACACCGAGGTGGGATGCCTGGGCGCACGTGTCTCGGAAGGACAGCGCCCTCTGGCCTGGGAACCAGAGCGCAGAGCGCCTCTCGGGTCCCCCAGGGCAGAACCTGGGCCTGGAGGGGGCGATCTTCCGCAGGGCTTCGACCCGCTCCAGGGTCGGGGGCGCCGCGCGCCTCACCTGAGCGGGATGAGGATGGCTAGGTACCTGTCGACAGCCACGGCCAAGAGGCTGAAGATGGAGCTCTGGGTGAGCACAAGCACGAAGCAGGCGAGGAAGAGGCAGCTGTGGAAGTCAGTGCAGAAGCCCAGGCTGATGGTGATGGCAAAGGGGATGGCGAACAGCCCCACGGCCACGTCGGCCGCCGCCAGAGACACCAGGAAGTAGTTGGTGGGCGTCTGCAGCGCGCTCGACATGCCCACCGCGGCGCACACCAGCACGTTGCCCGCCACCGACAGCGCGGCGAGGGCCAGCTCCAGCGCCACGTACAGCGCGTCCTGCGCCCCCAGCGGCATGGCCGAACCGGGTCGATCCTGGGCGCTGCCGACCCGGGGCGCCCTGGGCGCGGGGCGGCCGCGTGGGCCCCGCAGGGCACGTCTAGAGCGCCCGCACCGCGCGTCAGCCCGAGGCGTCTGATCTGCCGCGCTCGCGCGCCCCGGGCCCGGGCTTGGGGGGCGGGACCGCGGGGAGGCGGCAACGCCCATTGGCAGGCGCGCCCGCCGGTCTCGGACCCGGCGCAGCACCGCCCCTCCCCGAGCCCGGTCCGCCCGCGCGGGGGCCCTGAGGCTTCGGCTGCGCCCTGCCCGGCGTGGCTGTCCGACTCGCGGGCGTTCAGTGGTGACCAAGTTTGACGAAGTCAAGTCCCCCAACTTTCCCTAATGCCCCAACTCGGCGGGTCCGGAGCGAGAGCATTATCTTCCAACAAGCGCGGCGCGCGGGGAGCGGGGCTGCCCGGGGATTGGGCCCGGACTCGGCCTGGGGCGCCCGCCAGCCCCCGCGAGCCCTCCGCGAGAGGTCCCCCAGCCACCCCACCACCTAGCGGGACGGGTTGGACTCGAGGCCTTTGGGGGCTCCCCACGCGCACCCCACTGAGCAGGCGGGGCTCGCCTTGCAGACAGGGAACCGTGCCACAGGTTGGGGACGGAGGGCCCTGAACTCAGAGGCTGCCTCGGCCCCACGTTCCCGCCTGACCTGTCCCCAGGCGCGACACCCACGGCAAGGATCGCCCTGGGTCGCTGCGGCTCTGCCTTCTCCCACCCTGTGTCACACTCTATGCCCTTCATTTCCTTGTCAGGACCCCTAACATGCCAGTGTCCCCCAGGCCCTCTATCTTCACACCCACCCTGGATACACTCAGGATCCCAAAGCCTCACGTGTGGCCCTACCACTCTTGAGTCCCCAGCCCTAAGCGCCTCAAGGGTGCCAGACCTAAGCACCCCAAAATCAAGCTCATCTTCAACTCAACTCCAAACCTATGCCCTCTCCTCCTCCCAGACTCAGTTACTGACCTTACACTACCCTCCAGGAAGTGTGCTGACACCCTCCTCCTTCCTCACGCACCTCCAAATGCGTCTGGTGCTGCCACATCTGCGTCCAGAGCTTTGCTGCGCTCCCCTCAAAGCTAGGCCCCAGAGTCTGCTCCCGCCAGCCCGCCCTCATTGCTGTTCTGGGTCCCTGGTCAAACTTCTGTGGTCCTCACCAACACCATCATTCTAGAACACACCTGGCCCCACTCAGCCTTTTGCTGGCACTCACCCAACAAGGTAGTTAAAATTATCAGGCAACAGGAAAAGATGTTTGTAAAATGATGTTAGTGTTAAGCACACAATAAAACATGGAGGTGACTGCTAAAGAGTATTGGATTTCTTTTGGGGTGATGAAAATATTCTAAATGTGCCAATGGTTGCACAACTGTGAATACACTAAAAAATTCAATGGACTGTGTAAAGGAGTGCAGAGAGCATTAAGAGTCAGGAAAAAGAACTAATAAAACTTAGCTAAACCTTAACAGCAGACCATTCCGGAATAGTAAGAGATTCAATGTCTAAACTTAGAGAGAGACCAGATCAAAGGAAGAGAGAGCGAGAGGCCAGCCAAGGGCTATTTGAATCCTAGTTTACTAAATCCCCATGGTTTACAACCCTGATATCCACCCTGGCAGGGCCCTTGCTTATTTTTATACTGCTTCTCACTTTAGGTCCCTGTATCTTAAACCGGCTAATAGCCTTTGTTAGGGAAAGAGTGAGTGCTGTTCAGGTGCTAATGCTGAGACCGCAGTATCATTCACTCACACAGCAGGAAGAAACAAACATTCCATGATTGGAATGGTCAAAGGAAAGTGGGGAAATGTAGAATCTAAGCATTAGTAAGATTAGTAAATTAGCATAAGCATAGCCATCTTAGAAACCTAGAAACCATTTTCTGAGAGTGTGACTCAGAGGAAAAAAAAACAAAAAACAAAAAAAAACAAACCCTGGGCCTGGGTAAGGCCTTGAAAAACAAGTTAATCATGAGCACCGGGTGGTGGGCAGCTGTGACCCTTGGTCAGCTAACCTTGGTCAGTAAATCTTACATACCAAGCTTATCGTGCAGAACCTCCCTAACCATTGAGGAGTAGTCTTACCCTGCCCTTGCTTAACCCCAGGATATATGTCTTGCAAGAATAATGTATAGTTATAGAAAATTGCTATGAGTTAAGTGCTTTAAAATTGCTATATAAACCCTTGGCTCTGAGTGCTCGAGGTCCTTGTTGAGACCCGCTGCATCGGGCTGACTTGGACCTCAGCTAGCTAGCTGAATAAAGACTTTGCTTGAATTTACATCTCTATGCCTGTGTAGTTTGTTCTCTGGGGAAGCCTCGGAAGCCTAGACCCTAACAGACTGTACATTTTAAATGAATGAATTGTATGGCATATGGATTAGATCTCAACGTAGCTGTAATGTAGCTCCATTTAGTTGTAAGAAAACAAAGTCCCTTAGCTTCCAACCAGCACGACCCCCAGGAACCCTGGCCTCTCTAACAGGGGCAACAACGTCTACCAAAAACACTCACAGTATATGTTCTGGCTTCGTGATGTTATTATCAGGGATTTTTATTTTTCTGTATTTACAATGTGGTTTTGTTACTTCTATAAAGAAAAAAAGTTGATTTTATGTTAAAATATGGGAAAGCCCACAAATTCCATGCCCTGGCTATCTGAGTTTTCCACCACCCATGCTCTTGACACAAACTACTGTTACCACACAGATGAAAAACTAGAACCTCAGTGAGATCAAGGGACCTGGGCCAGAGCACTTCCTTGGGGTGGCAGAGGGTGAAAGGATTAGGGAGGGTTCCAGGGGAGTTGGCTTTTGCAGAGTGGGCAAGGATAGGCAGTGGGGAGGTATCCAGGTGAGAGCCATGCCCAGAGGGGGTGGGGACAGAGGCCCTGCTCAGGGCCAGCCATGCCCAGGAGAGCAAAGAGAGGAAGCCAGCCCAACATGGGAAGGCTTCCACCACCGGGATGGGGTGTTGAGTTGTTGTGGGAGGGCTCTGATGCACCAGCGTGTTATCTGGCAGTAGTGGCTGGAGAGTTGGCAGAGGGAGAGGAGGTGGCAGGATGGATGCCAGCTGGTTGTTGTTTCCTGCACACCCTGCAGCCTCTGGGCTCTGGGCTCAGCTCCTGAATTTTCTGTGCCTGGAATCAGTTTCCCCTTCCAGAGCCCACCTCTGTACACCCACCAGCAGAGCCTCCCTCCTCTCTGTCCTCTCTTGGCCCCAGCCCCTGCCTAGCAGTGCCCTCCACCCTCAAAGCCACCCTTGCCTCCCCACCAAGTTTACCTGCAATGAACTGAGTTATCTTGACTCCGTCAGCCCCAGTACGGAATTCGTGCTGGGATTTGAACTGGACTTACAGGGTCCAGGTGCAGCAGTAAAGGCAACAGGCAATTACCGTTGAGGAGACCCACGAAGAAAGGTTAGAGTCTGGAAGGAGTCATGGGGTTTACTCTTGAAAGCAACCAGGGGGCAGTGAACAGTGCCCAGGGCTCAGCAGCAGGGAACCCAAGTGTGATTCCCAGTTCTGAGGTTGACCTTGTACAAGCTAATTGACCTAAACCACAGTTTCTTATGCATAAGATGGAATAACAATACCAACCTCAGGTGGGTCAGGCTAAAAAGGGGCAGGAAGAACCATCTGCCATGTGACCTCCTAATCCAGACTCCTTGAAAACTATTGTAGTGATGGGACCTTCTGCATAAATTAAAACTACAGCACTGGAAACCCCAGTAGGCCTTTAATTGGTGAAAGTGGAAGGGTACATTTTGTGAACTAAATGACCCTTTGTGGACCTCTTCCAAATGACTAGCACCCATCCTCCCGTCTTCCACTCCTGCTCCATCTTACTTCAGTTGCCAAAGTGGAATCCAGAAGGCATCTAGATAGTCTCAGAATAGGGGCAGCACTCAGAGATGTTGTCAAAGACCCAGACTCTTTCATCTCTGCCACCTTTCATTTTAGGCTTATTGCCTCATGGTCACAAAAAGGCTGCCATGGCTGCAAGCATCACTTGCTCATACAGCCACATTGAAAGCAGAAAGGGAGCTAGCCTGTTGTTTATCATGGGTCAAAGTGCTGGATCACATGCTACTCTAAACTGATAATGAGCATAGGGAAATGGAACTATCATGCCTCACTTAGACCAAACATGGTTTAGTCCATGGGGCAGAAGAAAAGGCCCACTTGCCCCAAATATGTTGCCACGTAAATAATCTTGAGATTCTGTAAACTAAACAGGAAGAGAGGACAATGTGCATTGTCCTTCACTATCTGCGTGACTGTGAGAGGGAAGTTTCAACTTATAACCAGGCCTCACTGACTTGTACATAAAGATGGGGGCCCATCGGGAATAACAGCCCACAGTCCATGGGTTCATGCTTTCCCCTGACTTCAGTTACTCACAAATCCCTCGGACTCTTCTGGGAGTCTACAGAGGGTCTCTTACTATTCCTGGAATTTCTACTTCCCTCTGACATCTAAGAATCTATCACTGGTTCAAGTTGGAATTGGTTCCATTTTTCCTTAGATAAGTCTAGTCCCAGGAGGCTCATCACCCTCTGCTCAGTGAACTTCTGTCACTGCCAAACCTCAAGAGGTCGCTCCAGTCTCCAGATGCAGACATAGTAGGAGGCTACAAGTCAGACCAGACTCTGCCCATTCCCACAAACATCACACACTCCCAACGCTGGTGGATTTCACTTTGTCTTTTATTTCTTCTGTACTGCCTTTCCTAGGGCCCTTGAATAGTATTGAACAGTTCTCAAAATAGTGAACACTTAATTAATACTGTTGTCACATGTATTATTTCAGAAGGAAAATGGATGCCAGGCAGTACAACTCAATTTCCTCAAATGTGAAATGTGAGTGAAGGTTAAAACAAGAATCAATTTATATGATAAATACAGAAGCACATTTAAAATGTAGTCATTCTATTTGTGCACGAAGCAAATCACACATTTATTCACTCTGCCCTCAATCAGAGACAATGTAACTTCCTTATTCTCCAAATTGTCCTGATCTCTCACTTCACTGGGCCATAAAGCTTACTTAGAGTTGCCAATTTACAATATTTTAGTGAAATTACCATGAGGAAGGGAAGTCCCAGGAGGACTGCCCGGCAGCATTCC